CCATCCCTGCAACTATGATCAGCTATGGTCCCTTCTTCCCCAAGTCACCAACAAACCACATCTGATCAATTCACTCCTCTTTTTTCATCCACTATTATTCTCTCTTGTTCAGTCACCCCTGTCCTCTTAAAGGGGGGGTGAAACACTCAGTTTCACTCAATCTCATGTTAATCTTGAGTACCTATAGAGTAGTATTGCATCCTTCATATCTCCAAAAAGTCTTTAGTTTTATTATATTTATAAAAGAAAGATAGGCTGTACCGAGTCTTTCCGGAAAAACCCGAGCGGGTGGAGGCGTGCCGTGTGGGCGGAGCTAAATAATCACGAAACGCTTTTGCGTTGAGAGTGTCTGGAAGCTGTGAATGGACATCCGAAAATAAACCATGGCTAACAATCAGATAGGCTAGTAATCCCATGCAGAACAAGGATCTAAACAATACTAAGGGCTCGTTCATACAGAACGCGTTTTTGCTCACAAAAACATGAGATGGGCAGTGAAATGGGTGAAAACCATAAGGTCTCGAGCGTTTTTTTAAAAATAGAAATGATTTGAACTTGAGCGCAGTGTTTTTAGAACACCATGTCATGCGCGAGTTTTATAACATTTGTGTGTTGTAAACAGACAGACTCGTGGTTTATGAGGACATGATTTTATTTTTTACAATAAACAAACTGACACCTACAGTGGCCAGCTAAACAAATGTATTTAAACACACACACACACACACCATACATCGCATGCTCCATAGATATACATTAACTGTATGTGATCATGTTGTTTACTTGCTGTGCTTACACGCCGATAGTTAACAACTCACAGACATTTGAAGCAGTTTTACTCACCGCCTGCGGTTCCAACGCACGACCGTGAACCTTTATCGTTGGGACTGCTCCACCTTTAAGTATTAGGCGATCTGCAAATCCGGCGTTGAACTGGGCCTTGTTTATAAAACTATTACCGTCGAAATGAAGGGAACAAACAAAAACACTTGCACAACTCCGTTGCTGCTCTGGAAAAACAAAATCCATCCACAGGTCCCTTAACGCTGGGTTCTTTGGAAATTTGTGCAGTGTTGTCTTGCCCTGGCAACCAAAAACACACTTTTTTGGTGCCATTTTTTTAATTACAGCGCAGCCGACCGAGCCCAGCGCTCTGATGGGCATAGGCGTACTCTCGCACGCACTAGGCTACAGATGCGCGCGCGCCCTTCCGGGAGAAGTGCCCTGAAGACCCGTATAAGGAAATTCCGGCGACTCTGACGTCACACACGCCCGTATTCGAAAAAAAACTTTCCGAAACTTGTGACAACCCGGAAGGAGTATTTTTGGAACAGAATTACTCCATCAAACTTACAACTTCATTTTTGAAACTTTGTCCATGTTTAGCATGGGAATCCAACTCTTTAACAGTGTAAAAAACTCACTATGCATGAAACAGCATTTCACCCCCCCTTTAACTCTTCTCTACTCATTCCACTCTTCTCTTCTGTTTAATCCTCCACTCCACTCCACTCCTCTTCACAGTCCTTTCCAATCCTCTGCTGCCTTCTCTTCTCGTTAACTTTTCCTCCACAGCAAACCCAATAAGATCAGAACCAAATCTGCCAATGGGAAATATTGTGCATTCGGGTGAAAGAAATCTAGATGTTTGTATTTGTACATTTGTATTGTTCAGTATTGTGTACAGTATGATATCCAATATAGCTATATATTGTTTTTTTTTTTGTGTGGCCATTCATGCCACAAGCTAACTAGCTAAAACTTTTCTAAACCTGAACGTAACAGCCATGTAGATAATTGCTAATGGCAGCTAACGTTTAGTGTAGCCTTTAGTTATCCTTACTAGCCTACTATCTGTGTGACATGAAAAACAGTTCAAGGACCACACCAGCCTTCATACAAGTGTATTTCCAATGATTCCTCGCTCCAAACGTATCCCTGTAGCAGCATTTATTCTCATATCTATTTCTTTACCTAACAAGTCCAGTTGACATTTTTCGCAATTTCTCAACTTCTGGTCGAAGCAAAGTGGACATATAGGGCACATACCTCTCTTAGAGCATAAGATTCGGATCATTTAAAAAAAAAAAAAAAAAAGTCTCTACCCCATACCTGTGAGGAGTTATTATGGCCGTTTAAAGAAACCACCGAAATTAGCTAAAACGGCTAAAGCTAGCTAAGTAAACTAATAGAAAATGAATGCTGCTGCTACAGGGATACGATTGGGATGAGGAATCATCAGAAATGTACTTGTTTGAAGACTGGCGTGGTCCTTTCAGTTCATTACCATTACAATATCCATATTACCATTCTTTTCCCAAAACGCTGGGGCAGACCTACCGATATTCACTAAAGTTACTGTCACTTACCAAAGACAATGATGAGCAGCTTCGAAGTCCGTTGGTAACCGTTGGTTGGTTATTCCAAACTCATTAAAATTACTAAGATCATGTGTGTGTGTGTGTTTGTGTTTGTAAGTGTGCCATGATGCTAAATATCCAGCATGTTTTTAAGAATTTTGACCGTAGTCTAAAATTCTATTGAAGTTCTGAGCCTGTTGATCGCCAACTAGTAGTGAAATCATCACAGATCCATTGATTTTGGTTGGATTTTTATAAATTTTTTCTGTGGAATGAGTATAGTGTTTGGTGAAAAGAATGGCATGTTGACTGATGTCATAACTTAGGGGAATAGTTGATTGCCAATGAAGTAAAGATGAAAATTTTGGAAAAAAGTGAGAAAACGCCTATTTTTTTTATTTTATTAAATTGATGCAAAATCATGTAGAAATGTGTTTTAAGAGTTTTTTTTTTTTTTCAGTGGATGTTGTCAGCACATGTGTTCTGTGTATTTGGAATGCATTTATTGACAGCCTACCCAACCCACTAAGGATTTGATGAAAAAAATAATTTGTCACATTTTTCTGATTAAAAAAATAAAGGATGCATACACTAAAATGGCCACAATTTTTTTAGCGATATTTCCTTAGGATATTTCCGGCAGAGCAGACCCTCCGATTATTGGTTCTTAGGGTCAAAGTTAACAGAAAAAACACAAATAAAAAGTATGGCAGACCACTAGGTTCAACCCATTTTATTGAGCTTTTGAGACTTTGGCTCCTCTGCTAATTCTAGTTAATTATCTATCTTTACTTATTTTTTCACAAACTATTTAAATCTTTTCACCTTGCTTTTCCAGTCAGTCATCGTGTCTGCATGTGCTTTAAAGGGAAAAGTACCAAAATTTGAATTCAGCTTGTTTCACCTTAAACGTAAACATTTCATCAAATTTAACTTTTTTGTACATTTATAATGTATAATAATTAGTCACATTTCCAAATATTTAGGACACACCTTCTGTCAATTATACCGATAAAGTGTTTTAGAACATTGTGAAGTTCTAACTTGTTTTTTATTATCAATTTTACAACAGCAAGTGAAAGCTGAGAAAAGGGAGGTCTGATAGTTTATCTTTGCTGTGACGGTGCAAAAATGTATTCGTTAAGCTCGTGAACGGCTTGGGGGAATGGCTTGTGTTGGAAACCCCTGAGTTTAGAGAAATGCTATTCATAGTAATGTTTCAGTCTGTAGTACTGCGCTGTTTCTGTCTTTGTTGGTGTGTTTCCATTTACATCCATTTTACAGATCAGGTTCAGGTTGTCGTGTTTTTCCAGATATTGTCATGGTTTTCCAGACTCTTCTTCTGGTATTTGCTTTATAAATTACATTATGATATACGTTGTATAACAAATCCATGTAATTGTCACTTTGTCATTCATTTATTATAGTCTGTAGGCCTACTATATTGTATTTTAAGCTCCATATGTTTTAAAGTCACCACGAAATGCATTTTTTTCTGAATGTGATGTTATCCTGTTCAAACAGTGTGGGGGCATAAATAAATAACATCCTTCAGTTTACATGCAAATGTAGGCTGTTTACTTTGAGTGACTTTTTGAATCAAAACCATAATAATTGTGGCCCTACATGGTGTCTGTCTGATTGAAAGGAGAAAATTAAAAAGACAATTGGGCAAACTGGCATATAATCCTGCTATACACAAAGCAATAGGATTTGATATTATGTTGATTAAATGTTAAACAAGTGATTTAATTTAAGTTGAACAAATATTGATTTTTATGTCCATCTTGATATAGGCCTACTTTTCATCGTTGAAATAACATTATTTCAGGGTGCAAACCTGATGAAGAATCAATGTTAAATTTCAACATTATTCAATGATAATTTGGTTGATGCTTGTTTAGTGTTGGTCTATCTACGCCAATTGTCATAAGAATTCAAATTCAAATTCTCATAATATTCCATATCATTAATAACAACAATTACACAAATGATCAATTATTGAATGATTTTAAATAAAATTATTTGTTAAAAATCACACACAAAAAAGGAAGCTTCCACCACGGAATAATTTTTTTTTGTTTTTTTTTTAAAGGTAGGCTATTTGTGGCTTTTTATCTCAAAATTCTAATTATTGTTTATACAATTGCGAGTTTATATCTCATAAATCCCACTTTCTTCTCAGAATTGCAAGACAAATTAAAGATATGACTTCTGAATTGCGAGAAAGACAGAAATGTTAAAATATAAGTCGCAATTACCTTTTTTTTACAGGCTTCCATAGAAAACCTATTGTAGTAAACGGCCAAATTAACTGGGTCATTATTTAGTGAAGAAAAGAGAAATGACTGTATCTCTGGCAAACTGCTGCTCGTGAATGTGTGCTCAGCGGAAGGGGAAATAGTTCCTGTCCTGCACAACTACTCGCCGACATTTCATTATTTTAATTCCACCACTTGTGATATGCACTCATTTCATGCTAAACAATGATTAAAATAACCACTTTGAAATTTACATCGTTATCATTAAATGAGGGTATTTGGAAATACCCTCGAGTATTTACGTCAGTATCAGTATTACTATTTGAAGATCCATCCGCCAATCCCAACTGAAATCTAGTAACTAACTAACTTACACACACACAATCAGCTACTCAAACGCGGCAGCTGCAGTCCGAATGAACGTGAGCCTGTCTTAAACTTAAAATCAATCTGCTAATTATTTGGTGAGGATCAAACAAGACTTTACTCTGGAAAATCCTCGATAGTTGTTCGCGTCCTGACTGAAAATGAAGGCTAGGCTTCATTCTGGCGCTGACTCGCGCCCTCAAAGTTGCTCAAAAAGCGATGAGGACGGAACAAATCAATGTATCATTGTCAAGCTGGAAGAAGAAGATCCAGAAACTGAGATGGATCTGAGTATATTCGCTCCTGTCGAGTCCGATAACTCAAATGATGATGATGATGATGATGATGATGATGAACTCTCCTGCTCATCCAGAGCTTCTACATGGAGCAGAAGAAACATCCGAGAGCGAGGTTTGGCTTGTTTGACCTACATCTGATTCTTTAAAATCTTGTATCTCTCTGTCTGCCTACATATCAAATCTAAAGACATTATAGTACAAGGTTTTAAAGAAAACAATTGCTTTATGCTAGCATATCTTCTTCACTTTTCTGAGCCATTTTGCAATAGTGTTCTGGTGATTTTTTTTTTTGGTAACGTTAAGTTACCGTTAACTTAGATGAAGTCAGTTCTCCTCAAATTCACACATGTGTAACTCAGCTAACGGTAGTTCATCACATTAACCATGTCAAACACTAATTTTTAACAACCACAACGTGTCACACTTACTATACAACACTATATTGTTTTATCACTTAGAACCCAACACATTTCCTTTAAATGTTTTGCTCCAACTTTTTTTATATAGCCTAAATGTCATATGGTTTATTTCGTATCTAATGCAGAGTAACATTAAGTAACTTATCTGTGTATGGACAGATTTGTGTCAGTTACATATTTTCCTCACTGTCTGTCTCAGAAAACCAGGAGGATTATGCGCCCCTGAAACAGTCTCCCAGGAGGAGTTTAAAAGGACACCATGAGAGCAAACAAACCTTTCTGGATGAGCAGGGCCCAAAACAGAGTCCTGACTGTAGTGCCGCACACGGGGTATTGTGCCACAGCCCTCCTTCTCTCTTTCATGAAAAGTTTAGCAGTTAATAAATGGAAAAATAACTAAGCCAGATGCTCATATCATTACATTCATAGTGATTAAATTGTCATAATTTATGGGTCATTCGTTTCTACAGAGCCCCTGAGGGGACATAGAGATTGAAAAAATAATAATAATAATAGGAGATGGGAGGAAACATATAATGCTTTTGCATTCACTCCCAAAATGTCTTTTTGGGACTTTGATGTCCCAAAAACAGCAGTCTTTTTTCTGTTGTTTTAAAGGGTTAGTTCATCCAAAAATTTAAATTCTGTCAGTAATTACTCACCCTCGTGTCGTTCCAACCCCGTAAGACTTTCGTTCATCTTCGGAACACAAATGAAGTTCTTTTTGATGAAATCCGAGAGGTTTAAGAACCAGCCATAGGCAGCAATGTCATTGCAACTTTCAAGGCCCAGAAATGTAGTGAAAACATCATTAAAATATCTTCATTTGTGTTCCGAAGATGAACGAAGGGTTTGGAACGACATGAGGGCGAGTAATTACTGACAGAAACTTCATTTTTGGGAGAACTAACCCTTTAATATAAAAAAATGTATGAAATTTGGTATTACTTGATGATAGTATTTCCACGTCAACTAGCAGCAGCAGCAGTATCATTTAATCGACTAGTCTCGCACATCCCTAGTAGAGAGAGTGTGTGCACATGGTTGCCAGATTGCTTTTATTCAACAAAAACAGAGAATTTGGTAAAGTTTTTATTTTTTACAAACTACATTTTAGTCTTATCTTTTTTAATCAATGATATTGCATGTTGCAATAGTCAGTTATTGTTTAATGACATTGGTGTTGTCTCATCATCATCTCGTCTTAGTTATGGAATAAAATGTCATCAACGTACAATTTTTTATTTATTTTTGTCATAGATTTCAGTAACAAAATTAATTACAGGGAAGAAATTTGAATTGGTTTGGAACAACATGAGGATGAGTAAGAGTAAACATCTTTTAACTTGGAGAATCAGATCATTTGTTTTGCTCATGCCAGTAATGATCATTCTCTTCCAAAGGACATGAACGTAGGACTCCCTTCTGAGGAGCACACATTTTACCAAGCTGTGCCTCCGTGTGATTCGGCCAGAGGTCCTGTAGAGATGTCTGGACTGAACATGGCAATCAGCCCTTTAGCTGCCATGGAGCCTCCAGTATTTCCAAATGCACCAGAACAGGTTTGAGTCTCATAATAAGTGTTGATGTTGACACTACTTACTTACGTTCATGCAAGTGCCCATTCTATGCATAACTTACCCAATTCACCAATAAACTGTTACACAGATCAAGGTCAGTTTCCTTTTTCATTAACGTCCGAATTGTCTTCTAAACCAGAGCAAATCTGCTGTCGGGGAGGACCAGCAGAATATGCTGCTTGAGGTCCTGAACTATTGTAGGGTAAGAGCTTCTGTTTTCAACTTTATAACGCATTCAGAATCTAGGTCTTTTTAATTCATCTCATCTGTTTGTTGTCTTTCAGTTCCTGCATGCAGCAGTGCAGAGGCTTGAACAGAAGATTGACATACAGATGTCAAATGAGGTGCTGTAGACCTTTTAACCTCAGTGATCCAGGGCTTGACAATAAGGATGACCAAGGGCTAGCTGACAGAACTGCCACTTGCCCAATTCATGCTGCCAATTATGTTAGTCCAGAGGTCTTCAACCCTCCTGCTCACCCACTGTCCTGAAGAGTTCAGGTCCGACCCTAATCAAAGGGTCTGTTTACACCTGGTCACCTCATGCGTCTTTACTGATCGGATACTGATCTGATTTATTAAAACGGTTCCATTCACACTTGGCAGCATAAATGTGTCTCCGCAAAACAGATATTAATCCGATATTCAATTCCTGTTCTATATGTAAAATGAATGGAGTTCACATCAACGAAAGCTACCGATATGAGCTGCATTTTATTTATCAGCTAATTTCAAGATCAAAGACAATAGGAGAGAGAGCGGCATCAGCACTGGTAAGATCATAGTCTCACTACTTCTAACAGATACTCTACTGGTCTGCAGTAGTGCTGTCACATCTGGCTATAACACGCTCTCACTAGTTTATTTTTTATCATTTTGGGAGGAGTAAAACTGACACATGTGCTTTCAACAACCAGATACCTTTACACTTGTCTGGTTTAGACCAGACCACCTCCTGAAGTGGTTTGAGCGATCGGATTTAAGTGACCAGGTGTAAAAAGCGTTAAACACTTCTGAACCAGCTCTTCATGATGGCTTGAACATTGCAGAGCGGTGTGCTGAAGCAGGTTGGGAATAAACTTTGCAGGACAGTGGATCCACAGGAGCAGGGTTGAAGACCTTTGTGTTAGAGGGTTTTACAACTGCTATCGCACAATATGAGCCCTTAAAAAGCTAAAATATTAGATGTGTATTGTGATATAATTTTTATATTTAGCAAAATAAATCACGTTTTAGTTTAAAAAGATGATGCTATAAATGTTTAATTTTTGCCCCAGGCCCTGTAAAAGCGTCACCAGAGCAAATTAAAATGAACTTCTGCAGCGACTAGGCCAGCAGAAAAAAAAATCAGATTGTCGAGCCCTGAGACTGACCATATCTATATTTTACTGATGCACTCAATGACAGCATGCCTGTACAGACCTTTTATGTGAGATTTTTGAATCTTGTCGAATCTTTTGTCTTTTCCTAAAGCCGTCTTATGTAAGGAGCTCAGCAAGACTGAAGAATGCTTCAAAGGTTCGTATGTAAACCATTTACCACTGTGTGTTGTTGTTGATGTGTCACTCTTATGCACAGTTGAGGGATTTCATTCGGTCTCACCTAAATCAATTTTGCGTCCTGCATGGGGTTAGCCTGGTTAAAACCAGACCATTCTCAGTTGTAACTGAGTTATGGTCTGGCAAAGCTTCATAGACAAATCATTTCCAGAGGGGCGTCACCAACGGACATAGCTCAAATGCCTCTGGGCGCAATTGGATAGACCTAAAACCAATCAGAGCGATGAAGGAGATGACGTATGCAGAGCGACGTTCGTCTGTTATAGAACAACTCAGTTTGAATAAACGAGCACACACTGATTAGCTACTTGCTCTACGTTTATTTAAAATTAACAGTAAGACAACTAGAAGTGAATGTGCTTTCTATTAAATAAATCACACACAGTAAACAAAACCTTAAAGGAGTCATAATGTGCAATTTTCACTTTTCCATGAGAATCAATGTATGTTATGATTGACTAACGATTATACATTGGCCGGGAAGCCGATATTCAAAAGTGAAGCGTTTGTTTACCCCAGGGTTCTTAAACTAGCCAACGTGCACGCGCACTCAAATACGAGATTTAATTTCTCCCCCGACTTGACGTCAAGACGGGGCCGGATATACCATATATGGACACCGCAGAGGAGGCCCGCCCTGCCCCTCTCCCCATCATATTCAGTCAAGAAAGATGCAGAAACGTAGTGCACACGTGAGTTGCTCTGTGGTTGACTGTCATAATCCACATTCTAATGTTTTTTCTTTACCCAAAACTGACCAAACTACAAGGGACAAGTGGGTGAAATTTATTTTTAATGACGCTGTTCCAACAACCATCTCAACTTGCTCAACGTTAGGTGTCTGCGCTAAACATTTCACAAAAGAATCTTTTACAAATTTGGGGCAATATCAGGCGAAGTTGGCAATTATGAAGTTTTCCCTCAGTGATAAACAGACTAGAAAATGATACAGCTATTATTTAATATAATCGGAAATAATATAACAATGACAACATATCATTGTATTGATTTTTTTATATAATAGATAAGGATAGATACATTTAAAAAACAGTCAAGAATTAATAAACATAAAGAAAAACATAACGTTACATGTCTGCAGATGAAATTTATTAAATATCTAAAAAAACACAACGTCAAAAAAGGCAAAAACAACACATTATAGCAAACGTTAATCTCTATAACCACTGTAAGCTGAAAATAAAGTAGACTACATCTCCGTTAATGTAATCTACATTAAATTAAAGCTAAACTTATGTGGGAGAAAATAGCAAAAAACCTTTTCAGCTCGTTACTGATGTTAATGTATGTCTCAGTCAAAAAAATGGTCTTTACCATTCAGAGACATGTTGATGTAGACGTCCTTCAATTGACTGTTGTTCCTCTTCCGTTTCCAGCTCTGGTTCAGAGTCTGGCTCAAACATATACGGTTGAATCCCGTAGGTCGCGGCCAGGTCGGGTTCATTAACAACTTGCGCCATGATCTCTTTTTGGAATGATATGCTGAAGTTACCTGCGGTGTCAAGCCGCCCCCTCCTTCCTGCCACCAATCAACGCGCCCCTCATTTGCATTATTAAAATGACCGTCCACGACAGCCAAAACCTCGCATCAGATCTCGCGAGACAATAATGCATTCAGAAATAAGGGTCAAACGAGCTCTGTTTATTTTTTTCCAATTTTTCTTTTTTTGGAAGGGCATGAAATGACTATAATAGAGCGTGGGTATCAAAGTTAATACTACATTATGACTCCTTTAACAAAAAAAACTTTTGCAATGAACTTTGCAATTTAGACGCGCAAACTGGGTGCCGGTGCGGTGAGAGTGACACGTGCATGCTCGGGCAGATTCGGCTTGAGGTCGTTCATCCTCGGACGCAGCGCTGTTACAAAAAAAAGCCGTGCACACAGCCAGGCGAAATGGGGTCTTGCGCACCGAACGCATCATTTTTGCCGCGCGCACCTTCGCGCTCGTGCGGACGCGTCGAGTATAAACAAGGCTTTACTCCGCCTCCGTTTCCCTCATAAGCTGATATTAGTATTTAAACATTCTCTATGATACAATTTTTTTGTGAATTCTTTTTTAATAACATGGTTTTGGCGTTTATAGAGTTCTAATGACGGTGTTCAACTATAACCGTCACACCCCTAGTTCCGTCGCTGTGCTGTCGTCATCGTGTAAAGCCCGCCCCAACGTTTCTGATTGGTGCCGTGATTTCGACGGATTGGAAATGGGCTTGAATGAGCTCTTTGCCAGACTAACTTGCAAAGCAAATCTAAATTTGCCGGAAGTTGTCTGGGTTTTCCCAGGCTATCATGGGGTGGGCGATATGGCAAAGATATCATAAATGATTTTTTTGGGAAAATCACGATTTTATCACAATTCTTTTTTTTCTCTCTTTTTTTTCTTTATTTATTTCGAGCAATATATAATTACACATGACAAGGCAATACGAAGTATTTTGATTAATCTATACAAGCCTTTAAATTCATCATACTTTCATCAAACTTTAACAAATAATTCCATCTATTGCTCGAAACGGAGTGGGTAGAAGTCAAACTTATAACTATTATCACGATTCTTTCTCATGTTGGTTTTTACTATTTTACAAGTGACTGAGCATTACAGCCAAACTAATGTCCCTATTTTAAAAACAAAGCCTTGGGTAACAAAATATAAAATAAAAAGGAATGCAGACATTTAGGCCAAAGTGGCGAAGACAAAAATCTTTGTCATTATTTTCTTTGTTATTAAAAAATAAGAACAAAGATGCACATTACACAAACACAACTTAATATAAATGAATCGCATAAACACATCAGAGATGCTTCTCTCTTCTGTATGTGCAGTACAAGAAATCACAGGGAAGATTGCAGGAGCCTTGACTCGTGTCATAAACTACTCCTATTTTCTTTGAAATATGCGACCTGCTGACAGTGGCTCTGATTTTTGGCAACCGACTGCAATTCGAGACAAAAATCTGTGCAAAAGTCATGTAGTGTATTCTAGTCTTTATTTGGATCCGTTTGTTCGTCTCAACATTAGAGCGTAAAAAGGATGTATCTCCTAGTACATAAATACTTGGGTCAAAAATGCACAATCCTGATACTTTTTAATATAATCATCAACCAAAATTCCTGTATTTTGGAGCAGGACCTTAGAGCATGTATCAGGTCTCCATCCTGCCTCTCACATTGGCAAAATTTAGACCCAGTCGGAATAACCTGCTTGGTTATTCAAAAGGACTTTTTTGGGGATACTCACCAAGAGTGTTTTTGTCATTAATTTTAGCTGATAATGTGTCCCACATCTCTCAGAGACAGGCGTCTCCACCTGTTGAAGATGGACAGGTGTCCAGCTCTTTGGCCCAGCATCTTGGTCCGGCAGTCCAGACAAACCCATGGTGGATCCCTCCTTGGAAGCGAGGGCCGGACAGGACGGGTCTCCAGCAAGCTGACGACAACAGCCTTCAGTCGGGCAAGCCTCTTGGTGCGGGACGAGGCAGAGGCAGAGGCCGGGGCAGGGGACGGGGGCGTGGACGTGGACGTCGGGGACGCTATAATGGATCCCAGCGCCAATCTCAAACTCCTGATCCTGCTTTACTCGCGTTAAAGCCATTCGGAGACGAGACAACAGATGATCCACAGCCATCCCAGATAGTGAAGAAAAGCTCTTCGTGCAACACGGGCCCAATGCATCAGCAGCAAAGAGAGAACGGCTTGGCTCCGGTGGATGAGGAGAAAGTTAAATTGGAGAAGATGCCCAACAATAAAGAGGCCACACTTCAGGTTCAGGAGGACCCCAAAGGTAGGATATGGACTTGACAGTATGATGTGATTACTTGGTGGGCAGTGTGTCATGATAGGGTATTGAGGTCCATGACAAATAAGACTGTTTGAGATGATACAAGGTAATTATCTTTTTTTTTAAATGTCATCTTAGAAGTCATGTTGGCTTATGCTCAAAAAAGATTCCATTTTCAACAAAAGTATTGATTTACTTTTAATGATATAGCTGGCCTTCACTGATAATTTGCAGTTAAACGCAAGTAGTTGACAGCTTTTCTTCCGTGTTGTGACATGGATTATCAGAATAAAATGTAGAACTAAACGTTCCAAACTAAACTCCCTTTGTGAAAGCACATTAAATATTAAGCAAACTGTGAAAGTTGATTGATTAACACCATTCACTCCAAACTTCTGATAACTGATCTCTATATTTAGATCTATTATTTGAGATGTATATTATAGATGAATGTGTAGATGGATCACATTTAACTCCCCTTCCACTTATGTATCGCCTGAACAGGGGTTCTCAAACCTTTTGGGGCCAGGGACCCAGGCAATGTTCCCTCTATGCTGTACAGGTCAGGTATAAAGAATATTTTTGCTCAGGTGGCGAAAAATGTCCACCCAATAGAAAAAAGTTTTGCTCAGCAAGAAAAAAAATTAGAGGGAACATTGCCCACAGGGTAGAACATTTTCCATGATTTCACATGATTATAACAGTGAATAAACCCAAAGTGAATGTGGGTGGGAGTAATGAACACAGTATGCTCGTTTTATTGACAAAAATCTGTAAATATAAAAGTAAATGCGCACTTTTCAATAATATATAATTTTATGGACAATAAGTTGCAGCTGATTAGTCGCACTGGGTCAAACGCAAGTTGTTCAGAGGAAAAACAACAACAACAAAAAACATTCAATTAAGATTACATTCAAAAATACTTGTAGCACAGACATGAAAAAATGTCTATAAAAACGTAAGTGTCTATTTTTTGGACATTAAATGCATTATACAAGTTATTTTGGAATATAAGCAGCATGTTTTAATTTAGATGATACAAAAATGCTAAATATAGTCTATTTAGTCTGGTAGACCTACAGCAGATTACTTTGCGGACCCCCTCTGGCTATCAGTGGCTGGTCTAGAGGTTTCCCACTTGTAAATATCAGTTTGCTCAATCATTCGCATGCTCAGAATTCGTAATAACGATATTTCCGACTGCTTGAAGGGCACTACACACTAAATTAAAATGTATGCCAAACTGTTGCTTATACTCACATTTTTTACTTAAATATAAAAATAACAAAAAGTTCCTTCAATAACTTCAGTTTAAGTGCCAATCTTGTAAGAAATTGATTAGTGAATGGCCTTTTTCCCTCAGTAATGATCGGGAGCGGCTTGCGTAAAGTGTGGATCCCATTGTCCGTGTACAAGGAGGTGTTTAAGGAGGTGGAGCCGCAGAAGGCTGTGGAGCCGGTGCTTCACGCTCTCTTCCCCATCAGCACACTGTCCTGCAGTGCGGTCACAGGCAACCCCGCAAAGGGCATCCAGCAACTCGACCCTAACAAAATAGAAGCCCTTCGAGGTAAGTGCAGTCCCTTCGAGTTTCGTTTTTCTCCATGAAACGCTCAGTAATATGAGATGCTTATCCAGAAATATTTGTTTATCGACTTCAAATTAAATATTAATCTGTAGATTGTTTTTTTTTATGTGCAAAGTCATGTTGTGTGCAAAAAAGTATCAAGGTAAAGATTTTAATTTAGCATGGCAATGATGAATTAAAAAAATATGATAGACTTTTTATGCATAAACGTTTTTTTCCAGGAGAGCTTATTTCCAAACTTGAATTTGTGCACCATTAGCATTTCTAAATGGAAATGAAAAATATATATACACTTTGTATGTTTCAGAGTTCCTGGCTGAGATGTACCCACAGTTTGATGTCGGCGTGAGGGGTGTGTCATGGGCACAGTGTCTTGGAGTGATCAACAACATCACCAAAAACCTCAAGAAAAGAACTGAAAAAACATCATATCTGCCAAAGGAGGTGCGTTTATCCATCATGCCGGCTGGGACTTATTTTACCTACATAATATACTCTCGTTCAGTAGTTTAAGGGGCAAAACACATGTTTAAAACAGTGCTTCTGTGCTTTATTTCAGGTTGAAGGAGACACAAAAAATGACCCTTCATACTCACGAGGGTCTGTTTTGTGTTGTAATCCCGATACACACATACTTCATTTCAATTAATCATCTGAACTCTTGAACTCTAGAACTTTAGTTCAGAACTGAAGTGCAACAGCTGTGTTTCTCTTTTCTATGGCTGCTATGTTTCTAAGGAAAGAGAAGTTTTGAATACATAATATATTAACATTTTTGTTCTTAATAAATCCATATATTAACACTTTTTTTTTTGTTCATACACCTGTATATTTTTTACATTGCCAAATAAAGTTTTTTTTTTCAGATCTGTTGAAAATGATCTTATTAAAGTAACAACCAGTATAAATCACAACTGAAATTAAATACTAGTCACACATTCTAGAAGAACCACCAGTAACAGCAACTAGCTAGACTTGTTTTGACAAGTCACTCTTCACAAACACCTCTGCAAATTAATATTTCACTTCAATGTCATTGAGCCGTTTTTAACTGCTCTAGCGTATCCCTCTCTTTATGCCCATCTTGCGCTCGTATCGAAACTTGCGGATGGTGCTGTTTATAGCTCCAACGCACACCTTCCAGTCACTTCCGTCTTCCTCCAGCTTCATCCAGGGGAAGCGCTCCAACAGGTGCTCTGAAGAAGAGAAGAGTGAAAGAAGCTGTGACTGTGGTTGGGAACCGAGAACTAGTCCTCGTTGGTACCGGAGCCGGTGCCCAATCTTTCACCGTTTCCTAAAGTAGCGGATTATCGGACATCTCACCTCTTAGTGCAGAGATCTTGTTGTGGTCGAGAGCCTGAATGCCGCGCCGCACCCCGCCGTAAACATTACTGCGCACCAGCACATCCTCTGGGAAGATGAATTTAATGAGATACCGCGCGATGAGCTCAGGACGTGTGCGCAGATGTGCTGCAGACAAGGCAAACCCAGGAACCTTCACATCCCGATGAGGGGGGCCCAGATACACTGCTCAGAGGAACACACGAGAATGAGGAATCAGACTGAGTGGCTACGTTACATGGTCACTCTTTGTTTCAATTGATTTGAATGCTCGTTTGTCACAAGCTTCAATTCTGATTTGAATGCCGTTAGTGCAAACTAACCATCATCCTGCCATCACTTCTTTTCTTTGATTTAAAAAGCAGACTTAATATTAATCTATTTTGTCTGGGGTTTCGGAGTCTGGTGAGGGAATTTCGAGGCAGGACAGCGTTCCAGTTCAAATTGGTTGATTTTTTTTTTAGGGAAATGAAAGGGATTATATTCACTCAATAGCCTACGAAAGTGATCCAAATTCAGCAATAAAATGTATTGCAATAAAATAAAATATGGTTGGTGTCGCAATATCGACTTTCGTGATTGGCTGCAACCTGTAGATATCATGGCCAAAGTACATGCTTCTCTATCAGAGCACAGAGGATCATCAGAGCAAAACACTTCAGGTAAATTAAGTGGGATGAACTGAGATTTGCCTGTTTCTTTAATAGATTTGATATGGATGAAGCTGCGTTTGCGTATCTGAAATTATCCAGGTTTAGTAGGATTTAATGTAAAGCTGCATTTCCATTTATAAGACGCAGATATTGGAAAGCTGCATGATTAATCGTTATAAGATCGCAATCTAGATTCAAACACCCATGCGATCTTATTGACAATGATTCAACGGTCTATTAAACCTTTTGACAAGTACGATCACAGTGAACATTCAGAACTGTTGGCGCTGCTGCTGATCCAGAGAGAGCAGTTTAGGGAAGAAACGCCATCACAAACAGTCTTTTCAACTTCACAGTATCATCATTTCTATGGGAATCGGAATGAATTTGCCAAATCCGATAAAAATTTCATTAGAATTGTATGGGGTGGGTTTTAAACCTTTTTTCTAATGCGAGAGGACATCTAAACACTTGATCGGATTGAAAACCGAAACTGCAATGTTCTGCACATGTGCAATAATGTAGAAATGTATGATGCGTAGAATGTGTTGTTGAATGAAGATAAATGACTAGTGTCATTGTAAACTTCTCCTTCCACTCATCGTTTGTGAAGTGGAGGATGACAACGTCATCCCATCAGTCCTTCTTTCCAACTCATCTACAGACGCCTTGTTTAGGGCGCACAAATGCTATGCGCAAACAGTTTAGTTCAAATGACATGTTATTTTGTTTAGTTGTCTATTCAGAATCAAAGGAAAATCTTGATCTCTATTTTAAACAAAAACTTTGATTTGTGAAAACAAAAGCTCATTGAGTGAAAACAGTATCATAACCTCATGTGATGAAGCCAGGTTGTGAGATCAACAGTTGGGATAAAACATTACTACTCTTTAAAGCAGGGGTCTCAAACTCAACTTAACTGGGGGCCGCTGGAGGTAGAGTCGGGGTCAGGCTGGGCCGCATCAAGTATTCCAAAAAAGGAGCACAACTGATCCAATCTTCTCAATCTTTATTATTAACGTTTCTTCTGAACTGTTCCTCTGCATTTGAACATTCCTTTCTGTACATGATTGGTTCTTCATGAGCTGTCCTTCTGACAGTTGAAGTTCATTTTACAAACTTTCTTTGTCTATAACACATATTTGTAATATTTATATTTGCTTATGTCCTTTTTATTTTCTTTATAGGCTACAACACATTAATGATATTGAATGTTTTTTTTGGAAGGCACATTTCCTTTTATTATATACTTAGAAAAACAATTATTGCTTTTGAAATACAAATATTTGCAGTCATGTCTGCCCGTCTTATTGAATTCTTTCTACACATGTATAGTGTCTCAGGCAAATTACTGACTGCACAAATCAAAGCAAACCTTCTTATCAACCTGTTGGACACAAATTGCAAGCTCAAAATGATTATTCTCACATTGTTTTAGAGCAGTGTCTCTCTCCAACACGTCGCTCGCGAGCTGCCAGTAGCTCGCGGCCTGATTGGTGGTAGCTCGACAAGGGGCCGTTCACATATCGCGCTCACATATTTTGCGCGCTCAAGTTCGTTATTTCAAATGTAGGTGCGCGTGCGCGGCAAGCGCGCTCATAATTGAAGCGACGCGCTCATTTTTTCCAGGCGCGCAGTATGTTTGTACTTCGCGGTTGTCTATGGCAACTATTGACAACAAACCCACCGTAAGGTAGCCCATTTAAAACGCGGCACACGCAACGACGGGCCGCACTAACATTACACTTTATTGTCAAGTAGGGGGCCACAAAATATCACCCCGCGGGCCGCGAGTTTGAGACCCCTGCTTTAAAGTCTTTCAAATTTCAACCGATTTGAAAAACAATTTGTTAAAAAAAATTTCAGATAATTCTCAGTGTTTCCTCTAGGATTTTTTCCAGCCGTGGTGGCAGGCCCATTTCGCATGGGGGAGGGGGCGTGGCCCATGAGTGATATTCCCTTTGGCCACGCCCCCTTATCTCAGGTGTTTAAACCTCCCCTAAGCATTATAACATAAAAGGCCCCAATAAGAGCGGCAAAGCGATTCTGCGCATCCCGTGCGCAGAGTGATGCACTTGAAGCAACGCGAAGTCACAGCGTGCAGCGCTTCGCATTGAAAAGTTCAAAGCACAAAGCGAAGAGATTATATCTATCTATGCTTAATGTATTATATCTATGCAACAGTTTATTGAGCCTTTTCTTTTAACAGTTTTAAATTTCAGTTACAGTGTGCATGAAGAACAATTCATAGTGCTCTCTACTCCAGTGCTGTAGTAACAGACACCCGGGAGAAAGGAATATGATTTAGAAAGCGCTATAAACTCCAGCAAGATAAAGTAATTTTATGCAAACTATAGACCTTTATCTACAAATAAAGTATAATAATGGGAACATTGATCTTGAAGAGAGTATCGTCGTGTTACTGTCGTAACCGAACGTGATGCGCTGTTTGAATGCTGAATGGAGAATGACTGAGGAGATATGAGTTTCCATTAACTTTAACTTGACGACTTAAATATACATTTTTACCTCACATTATGCTATTGAATGACTTTAGAAGTCTTGGAATATAGTGCGAAAACTTTATGGTGCTTTACAATGTTTTGTATGCCTTTAGTGGGGCTTAACAATAACACATACAATATCGGACCGAGAAGCTGCAGCCGTGGCGGGATGATTTTAGGTGTGGCGGCCCGCCACGGCAGAATGAATGTAGCGGAAACACTGATTCTTATATTAGAACTGTTTAGTTGGCAATGTGGTTTGAAAAAAAAAAAATGTCAAAGGGTTTTATGAATGTGTTTGTGCCACACAATTTATGAATGTTGTTCATGACCTTCCATGTGCCTGTATTGGCACTCAAGAAAAAACTGTTTGGAGGAAACGAAATACGTTTAATGTTAATTAAGATCATAAAAGATTTTATACACTCACCTAAAGGATTATTGGGATCACCTGTTCAATTTCTCAATGTAATTATCTAATCAACCAATCACATGGCAGTTGCTTCAATGCATTTAGGGGTGTGGTTAGGGTCGAGACCAGGGCTCGAGACTAACGGCGTCCTATCGTCCGGGGACGATAGAAAATGTTTAGGACGAACAGAAATATTCTCCAGGACGCCTACAGGACGAAAGATATTTTTTTTATGTGTGTTCATTTATTTCTAGCCTATGGGCTAACTTACTTAGAAAATGTCAAAATTAACCGACCAAGTGCTGACTACAATGGAGCGCGTCTTCTCATGCTATATAGCCTAACGTTACTATCACTGGCCGGCTACTCACCCGGAGACTTGTTCCGCGGTACATCTATCAAATGGCTTAATGACATCGTAAATATGTTGCGCTGGTTAAACAACAGATATTCAACGAATAAAAACTAGACAAAAATGTTAGATAGTGACGATTTGGGAAGCGATCCAGTCATAACTGATGTTCTGCGTGTAGATGCGCACATTTGAAACGTGCTGATCTACCCAGCGGGACACGGGTTGACATGCGCTGCATGTTTCATAAAACGTTAAAATATGTAAACGTCTGGGAGAATGAGTAGAGCAGAGATATATATATCTGAATAAGAGTGACGACGCAAAAAATAGCTCTATTCGGTTTTCTGTGCGCACACACACGACCGAAGCGTGCAGCCATGCACATAGACGCCCATACAGCGCGCGTGGACTGATTGAGCTCTCTTTCGTGTCTGAGTGGACAAATACACACAACATTATGTCTAAATGTCCGTTTTGGAGAGTATTCATGTAAACTATGTTGGTTATGTCTTAAACAGTTGTGAGAGAATCGGATGTGCATCAGTGCAATTGTATCCGCATGTCATTAGACATGATCCGACGTCTTAAAGTGACGGTGCGTAATAAACCTAATGCGGTCCGTGTCCTTAATATTGATCAAGCAACAAAAGAAAAAGAGAAAAGCATTCACTGCTCGTTAATAGCTTTAATGTTATATTTAATATAATTAGTTCATACAAATAACTATGTCTGCTGCTTGAAAGAATAAAGAATTATGTATGCAAGTAGTTATAAAAAATGCATATATCATTAATTGAAAAGAAGACTGTTCTATTTTAGGAAAAGTGGTTTTATTTAATTTTAAGATATTTTAAGCAGTTAAATCTGTATCTGTATTGCATGTTCAAACTTTAAAATCATTCATATTAACAGGTTAATAGATGTTTTTTCCGGCACGAAGATCTCAGTACAAAGACTGAGATGGAGAATTCTGTGTTCTAGGGAAGTCATATTACACTTTTTAAAGCCCTTTCTCTTAACACGTTTCCAGATGATCAGCTATGACACATTACCACTTTGAGATATTTAGTCACCAGTATGTATTTGTTATTGTTTAATCCAACCAACTCAAAAACGTTTTGAGCTGTGTATTTTTCTCTTAATTTTCGTAGCCTATATGTAAAAAAAAAAAAAAGGAAAAAAAAAAATGTATTCTGCATGAATACAAAAAAACTACCAACAACTATAACTATAGATCATAATAACAAAGTACAGAAACAACAGTTTTATTTTGGGACGGTTGACATTCACTTTAGGACGGTTCAAATTGGTTTTCAGGACGGTTCCAGGACGTAGGTGAAAAAAGTTAGTCTGGAGCCCTGGTCGAGACAATCTCCTGAACTCCAAACTGAATGTCAGAATGGGAAAGAAAGGTGATTTAAGCAGTTTTGAGCATAGCATGGTTGTTGGTGCCAGACGGGCCGGTCTGAGTATTTCACAATCTGCTCAGTTACTGGGATTTTCACGCACAACCATTTCTAGTTTTTACAAAGAATGGTGTGAAAAGGGAAAAACATCCAGTATGCGGCAGTCCTGTGGGCGAAAATGCCTTGTTGATGCTAGAGGTCAGAGGAGAATGGGCCGACTGATTCAAGCTGATAGAAGAGCAACTTTGACTGAAATAACCACTCGTTACAACCGAGGTATGCAGCAAAGCATTTGTGAAGCCACAACACACACAACCTTGAGGCGGATGGGCAACAACAGCAGAAGACCCCACCGGGTACCACTCATCTCCACTACAAATAGGAAAAAGAGGCTACAATTTGCAAGAGCTCACCAAAATTGGACAGTTGAAGACTGGAAAAATGTTGCCTGGTCTGATGAGTCTCGATTTCTGTTGAGACATTCAGATGGTAGAGTCAGAATTTGGCGTAAACAGAATGAGAACATGGATCCATCATGCCTTGTTACCACTGTGCAGGCTGGTGGTGGTGGTGTAATGGTGTGGGGGATGTTTTCTTGGCACACTTTAGGCCCCTTAGTGCCAATTGGGCATCTCTTAAATGCCACGGCCTACCTGAGCATTGTTTCTGACCATGTCCATCCCTTTATGGCCACCATGTACCCATCCTCTGATGGCTACTTCCAGCAGGATAATGCACCATGTCACAAAGCTTGAATCATTTCAAATTGGTTTCTTGAACATGACAATGAGTTCACTGTACTAAAATGGCCCCCACAGTCACCAGATCTCGACCCAATAGAGCATCTTTGGGATGTGGTGGAACGGGAGCTTCGTGCCCTGGATGTGCATCCCACAAATTTCCATCAACTGCAAGATGCTATCCTATCAATATGGGCCAACATTTCTAAAGAATGCTTTCAGCACCTTGTTGAATCGATGCCACGTAGAATTAAGGCAGTTCTGAAGGCAAAAGGTGGTCAAACACAGTATTAGGATGGTGTTCCTAATAATCCTTTAGGTGAGTGTATTTAATTACACCTGAAAGGTCAATGAAAGTAAAAATAATAATAAAAATCTTCCCAACTAGAGTCCATTTCCAGCCCTAGTTACATGTGACTTTTTTTTATGTTTTTGTTCCGACTGTTCTACTAGTCCAGGGGTAGGCGTGTTCGGTCCTAGAGAGCCGCTGTCCAGCAGAATTTGGTTCCAACCCTAATCAAACACACCTGAACAAGCTAATCAATGTCTTCAGGATTACTAAGGCTATAGGCAGGAGAGTTTTTTTCAGTGTTGGAGCCAAACTCTGCAGGACAGCGGCTCTCTAGGACCGAACTTGCCTACCCCTGCACTAGTCCAATTACAAGCAGATTATTAGGGTCCATGTAAGTTAGTGTCATTTCTGGGAGGATACTGTCAGTAAAGCAGTTTCAGGTCAAATCCAAAGATGAGAACTAGGGCTAGCCAATATGAAATAATTACAATGTATTTGCAATGATTATGTCAGTGATATAAAAGTATCACTATTTGCAGTAAGTGTAAAAAAAGATGCTATTGCAATATTCACATCTACAGCAGTTGCCATAAAATTAAGTGATAATCATGATTTCATATATTTTCAGTGATTTTTTTTTTTTTTTTTACTAGAGAGTCGAGACATTACCTATGTTTCCATCCAAAGTTGCAAATTTAATTCACGTGCAAAATTTGAATATCCCATCTTATGGGATCAAGAGAACAAAATCGTCACTTCCTGGAAAATTGGCGCAAAATATCTGTAATAAAAGTGTAAGTTGCTGCGATCGGGGAAGAATCTGTGGCTCTTTTTTCCCCTGCGCAGACGAAACGCAATAAACGCTGTGATGTTATCTTGCGCTTGGATGCTGGTGTTTGTGAACGCAATCGTGTGAGACGCTTCTGTGAGGGAATTACACCAAATCATTCTGATGACAGACTTTGGCTCAGGCATTTCAGAATGAACAAAACCAATATTTGAGATGCTGTGCGATGTAATTGGTCCACTGGTTGGTCCAGTTATCCAATCACATCAGTTTTTTTGTTGTGCAACGAGGAATTTATTTGGTAAATATGTTTCCGTTGTAGTTTATGCGCATATCATCTTATCGGATAAAAAATCTGCCTATAGAATTGATGTGCATCTTGGCATCATTTCCAGTCAGGTTTTTTTTTAATGCGATATCCCAACATTTGCATAAAAATAGACGGATGGAAACATAGCTACCGTATTAACAAACGTAATTTTAAAGGTGCCCTAGAATGTTTTTTTATTTTTTTTTTATAATGTTTCCTGGGTTACCCTTATAATGTTAGTATGTTTTTTAGATAACAAATAATCATAATTTAGAAATAAATGGCATTTTTCCTAGCCTGCTTTTAGCCTCTGATTTGAACACTCTGTTTGAAGGGGCGTGTCTGCTGTGGGATTCAGTGTAACCGCGGCCACTGCTGTGATTGGCTGACATGCTTGCATATGAAATAGCTACGCATTACATGTGAAACTCTCTCCCGAATACTTTTACTACTGCTATTATACGTTTTTACTATAACAGCTATCGAGATTAACGAATCGTGAGATGTTTTTAAAGTATTTAGATCTATTCCCATTACATAAAATGTTGCTGTGATGAGCATTGAGCAGACGACAGTGTGTTGATCGCGAGAATGAAGATCTTATCATTGCAAAGCAGTTTCTGCACTCTCTCTGCTTTCACCAATGCAAACACGATGATGTAAATACAGTAAGAGCTTCGTTGTGCAGTGTAACGTGCGTCATTGATTTCATAACGAGTTTGGCAAGTGTCCAGATAAACTCGCGCTGTATTCTTTGATCGCTTTCTGTATATAATTTGTTCACAATTTAAATACGATTATTTTCATCCTACTAAAAGAAACAATGTGAAGCTGATATTTTAGTCACTGGCTTGACTTACTGATGCATAAACAGTATTGAACGATTTTGAGAGAAAGATTACCTGTCTGAACTTGAACAATTACACATCAGAAAGTGATGCTTGGTAGCTCGATCCGAGGCCAGCTCTGTATTGGCCCAAGTTGAGGAAACAGTCGGTGAAATGTTTGGAAATTTCCAGAGAAAATAAAATTAACCCATTGTTTCTTCAGAGGCTCAGATGAAGGAACTAAAAAATACTTTTGTGTTCATGTGTACATCCACACTGAGCCACTGCCTTGCTTCGGCTGCGCAGTTCCGCCTGGCATTGAGGGCTGGCATTATGCAAATATTTGGAGGCGTACATATTAATGATCCCGACTATTGCGTCACAGTCGGTATTGTGTGGAGAACCGACCGTTTTTCAGGGGTGTTTTTCATAAACGTGAATTAAATGAGAACACGAAAACAGTCCAGTTTGAGATTCACTCTGTCATGTCCATGCACTGAACTCTTGTTATTTGACTATACCAAGGTAAATTCAATTTTGAATTATAGGTCACCTTTAAACAAATGTGTGATCTCTTGACCCCAAAGCACAGCCCTAATAGGAACTATATTTGATTGACAGATGTGATGTTTCAGTGCCCACTGACCGCCGTTAGATTCCCAGTCGTCGGGCATGTCGTATTCCTCAGTGATGTGGCTCATCAGCACTTGCTGCTGTTTCTGCTCCGTGTCGCTGTCAGACAGTTCAACATCGATCTCTGCAGCTGCTTCACACGCAGCTGCCTTCAGCTCTGATGCCACTGATCCACTGTTCTCCGCTTTTACACTTTCTTCAATCTTTAGCTGTGAACGAAACATCAACTTACTAACAAACACACCACTCCAGGAAAAATCTGGTCATGTATGGGAGCGGACTACTCTTTCACCATTTCTTTGTCACGCTTTGCCTTTTTGTGCAGTTCAGTTAAATAACCCTGCAGTGCGGCAAATCAATTTTAAAAGTACTTTCAACTAATGAGGTAATTTAAAACCAACATTTTTTAAACTAATTTTACAAAAATTAAAAAATATTTGGTTTAGTTTTAGATGAATTATAGCATGTCAGGTACTCCTACACAAATATCAGCATAAAATGACTTAATCATAAAACACTTATGCTTAAAAAAAAAAAAGAAAAAAAAAAGAAGATAAATATTAGTGCAGAAAACAATCAAAAGGGACCAATGACATTTGGGAAAAGCAGTGGTAATAATGTCATGGAAATACTGCAGATATATTGTTTTTAAATGGTTTTAATAGGAAAAAAAAGAAAAGAAAACGTCTCGGTTAAGGATGTAACCCTCGTTCCCTGAGTAGGGAACGGAGACGTTACGTCGGATGACGGAGAATGGGGGTTTCGCCAGAAAGCCTATCATCTTCGAGTATTATAAAACGAGCCAATGGCAATGAAATGCTATGGGTCTGCGGAATTTGCATAGCGTATCTCCGCCCCACCGCGTGGGTATTTAAGGAGAGACACCGGCAAAAGCAGATCATGTCTTCGCTGAGGAGACGAGACTGAACTCAGGCGTCTACCCAGCGGTACAGCGGAGGTGGCAGGGAGACGTAACATCTCCGTTCCCTACTCAGGGAACGAGGGTTACATCTGTAACCGAGACGTTCCCTTTCGTAGTCACTCCCGGGTTACGTCGGATGACGGAGAATGGGGGTCCCCGTGAAATCACGCCACCTTCACAGCTGTCTTCCAGTGCCCTGCGAAGTCTGACCTCCCTGTCGTGAAAATAGGCACGGACGAAGGAGTCCTACTTAACATAGGAGTACCAAGGTACACTGGGAAGCATATCTCAGGGGAGATATGCCGCAGCACGCCTACCCGTAGGGAGGACTTAAGAATACACATATGGCCCGAGGGGGGCTACATATGGAGGAACACTGGAGTGACCAGCCCGTGGGGTGGCAACTTTTAACTCCAGGAGTGGCAAGGTGGCTTGCCGAGGGAAAGACACATACTCAAAGAGGCTTACAGTGGAAATACACATGTGGGGGTTACTCAGAGGAGGAACCATGCACACGGAGGCACCTAGCCGACGCACAGGCAATAGACACTGGCGCCAGCGTCAACAGTGCTGGAGGAACTCAGGGCTTCAGAGAGGAAGGCTCACCTGAGGAAATATCGCACGTATCCAGTCCGTGGAGTGGAATGGCGAGCAAGCGAAGACACCCGAATGTGTTGGGTGTCGCCCAGCCTGCAGCTCTGCAGATGTCTGCCAGTGATGCGCCATGCGCTAGAGCCCAAGAGGAAGCCACACTCCGAGTGGAGTGTGCTGTCACACCAAGGGGGCACTGTCGACCTTGCTGCTGGTAAGCCAAAGCAATGGCGTCCACTATCCAGTGAGACAACCTCTGCTTTGAGAGAGCCTTTCCCTTCAGTCTCCCACCATAACAGACAAAGAGCTGGTCTGAGGTCCTGAAACACCGCGTTCTGTCTACGTAAGCACGGAGTGCGCGTACTGGACAGAGCAGTGCCAAGGCTGGGTCTGCCTCCTCCAGGGGCAGCGCTTGCAGGTTCACCACCTGGTCCCTGAAGGGAGTGGTAGGAAACTTGGGCACATATCCAGGCCGGGGTCTCAGGATCACGTGAGAGTAGGCCGGCCCGAATTCCAGGCACGCTTCGTCAACGGAGAATGCGTGCGGGTCCCCTACCCTCTTGATAGAGGCCAGTGCAACCAGGAGCGCCTTCTTAAGAGACAGATATTTAAGCTCAACTGATTGCAGAGGCTCAAAGGGAGCCCTCTGCAGGGCATTTAAGACCACTGAGAGGTCCCAAGAGGGAACGAGAGGAGGAGAGGATTCAGTCTCCTTGCTCCTCTCAGGAACCTGATGATCAGGTCGTGCTTTCCAAGAGACTTACCTTCAACTGCTTCGTGATATGCGGCGATGGCAGCCACATTCACCTTCAGGGTGGAGGGAGACAGCCTTCGCTCCAACCCATCTTGCAGGAAGGAAAGCACGACACTGATCGGGCATCTCCTGGGGTCCTCTCGGTGAGAAGAGCACCAGTTGACGAAGAAGTTCCACTTCAACGCATAGGCATGTCTCGTGGACGATGCTCTAGCGGAAGTGATGGTAGCCGCCACCGTTGGTGGCAGGGTACTCAAACCTGCCTCGTCCCGTCCAGGAGCCACACGTGGAGGTTCCAAAGATCGGGACGAGGGTGCCATAGGGTGCCCCGTCCCTGAGAAAGGAGGTCCTTTCTCGGAGGAATTGGCCAAGGAGGTGCTGTCGCGAGGAGTATCAGTTTGGAGAACCAGGTCCGGGTGGGCCAGTACGGCGCAACCAGAATGACCTGCTCCTCGTCCTCCTTGATCTTGCACAGGGTCCGTGCGAGAAGGCTCACTGGGGGAAACGCATATAAGCGGAGGCCCCGTGGTCAGCTGTACGCCAGTGCATCCGTGCCGAGCGTGCCCTCGGTCAGGGAGTAATACAGGGCGCAGTGGGATGAGTCGTGGGAGGCAAACAGGTCTACCTGTGCGTCCCTGAACTGGTCCCAAATCAGCTGGACCGACTGGGGATGGAGTCGCCATTCCCAGAGATGGGCCGAAACCGTGACAGCTCGTCGGCTGCAAAGTTCCGATCTCCCGGAATGTAAATAGCACGAAGGGACCTCAGGTGCTTCTGACTCCATAAGAGGAGGTGGCGTGCGAGTTGCGACATACGGCGGGAGCGTAGACCACCTTGACGGTTGATGTACGCTACTGTCGCGGTATTGTCTGAACGGACTAGTACGTGTTGACCCTTGAGCAACGTTCGAAAACGGTGCAGGGCAAGGCGTACTGCCAGCAACTCGAGGCAATTGACATGCAGAAGGCGCTGGGGTTCTGTCCAGGAGCCCGCGGCAGCATGTCCGTTGCACATGGCGCCCCAGCCCGTGGACGAGGCATCTGTGGAGACAACAACATGCCTGGAAACTCATTCTAGGGGAACTCCGGCCTGTAGAAAACTGAGGTTCCTCCACGGGGTGAAGGTCTGACGGCCGGTCGGAGTCACTGGGACTCGGAGCGTGCCATGATGCCATGCCCACCTCGGGACTCGATCGCGAAGCCACAGCTGAAGCGGTCTCATATGAAGCAATCCGAGCAGCGTTGCCACGGCTGCAGATACCATATGCCCCAGGAGCCTCTGAAATAATTTCAGTGGGACCGCACTTTTGCCCTCGCACGCATTCGAAAATGTGTTTGGCCGTGAGCATCTTGAACGGCAGCCTGTGAAGGGAGCGGTTCAAGACACGCAGATCCAGGATTGGCCATAACCCACCGGTCTTCTTGGGGACAATGAAGTACGGGCTGTAAAACCCTGACCTCATTTCGGCCCGACGGACAGTCTCGATTGCACCCTTCGCCAGCAGGGTGGCAACCTCCGCTCTCATGATCGGGGCATTGCCACCGACCATAGTAAGCGGACTCCCCTGAAGCGGGGAGGAGACCGTGCGAATTGGGTCGCATAGTCGAGCCTGATAGTTCGGGCGACCCAGCGGGACAGGTTGGGAAGCTCTAACCAAGCTCCCAAGAACTGATCCAGCGGAATCATCCGAACCACAGACGTCCCCCTGAAGGGGCAGCGAAGCGGAATGATCGGCCCGGACGTGGGTGGCATAGCGGCCCGGTGTGGGGGCGCGGTCATGCTCCGCGTCCTGACAGAGGAGACCAGGGAAGGACCAGCGTTCCACGGGGGTCTGCTCTACCAGGGGTCTGGCGACAGAGGGGGACGAAAGCGGCGAGGCCCGGGAGCATCGCGCACTGTCGTCCGGCCCTCTGAGGGCTCAGAGATGGGATGCAGCTCTTTGGTTTAGAAAAGATTCTCCCCCAGCCCTCCACCGGGGGAAGGAGTGGCCCTGCAACCACTCCCTGAAGAACTGCAACCCACGTCTGAGCTGCCCATAACGGGAGCGCCGCAAAGCCTGGCGTTAGCGGGGCTGGTATGGGCAGGGGCGCCTTCCTGCGACCACCTCCACGGCGTGGCCCGGTGCTGCTGGGGGCCGGGCGGGAGGGGGCGGAAGTCGCAGGAGGCAAGCGGACTGAGGCGTCTGAGCCGGCGGCTGGAGGCAGCAGAGCCGCGGGGTCAGACAAAATAGCCACAGTCCACTTCTGGGCGGCCGAGAACTGTTGGGCAGAGTCCTCAAACGCGCCGCTGAAGAGGCCAGCCTGGGATATGGGGGAGTTGAGGAAACGTATTCACTCAGCCTCGTGCACATCAACCAGGTTAGCCAGAGATGTCTGACCACCTATGTGGACATCACCTGACTCAGGGAGCGTGCGGTCACCTACGTCGCTCATAGAGCAAGGTCGGTGACGGCAGGCAGCTCAAGGATGAGCCCTGAATCAGCCCTACCCTCGTGCATGTCATTGAACACCCAGAAGGATGGCAATAACACGCAGTGAGGTGGCAGCCTGCCCCGCAGCTCTATAGGTCCCCGCCACCGGAGTAGACAAGAACCTACAGGCATTGGAGGGGTGCTTAGGGTCGCCACGCCAGGTGGAGGCGCTGTGGGGACACATAAGTGTTGCCACAGAACACTCCACAGGGGGAACCCCAGTGTACCCTAGGCCGCGGCCTCTACAAGGGCAGAGAAGACGGAAGAGGCCACTGAGCAATCGCGAAAAGTCAAAGGAGACTTCCACGATCTCATGATCTCTTCATGCACGTCCGGGTAGAAAGGATTTGGGTTCGCCACCCCCAAAAACCAATCATCAGCCTTAAGTGCTCGGGACATGGCAGAAGGTTCCACACAAGCCCGATACTCGCGGCAGCCTGGGAAAGCATAGCTGTGCACTCTGGATCAAACTCGTTATGCTAGCACATCCGAGGACGGCAGCACAGACGAGCCATCATCTCTAGAGAACTCCAGCTCACCTTGTGATGCACCGACATACATGATTTCATCAGCCGGGGGACCGAATGAGACCACGGGCGGGCCGGCGAACTCACTCGGGACCACGCGGGTTGCAATGTGAAAGACGGGGTGTGGACCGAGGAATTTTCGTCTGCTTAGTTCCAGACCTGCCATCTTAGGTCACCCTGGCCACCAGCCGAAGTATTATCTCACGTGGAGAAAAATAGATCGGGGTGTGGATGAGGGGACTCTCACTCTATTGAGCTCATCGAGTCTCGACCGTTACATTGCGATGGTCACATTCCCACTGAGAGAACGTGACACACCCACGAGCGCTGTCTGAGCGCGATCAAAGCCCAAACACTCAGAACAGCGCTCGCGCCCATCAGCTGAATCTATCAGAATACCACACTCAGAAATACACGGGCAGATCGTCTTTAGAAAGACACGTCTTTAAAAAGACATGCCGCGTGCAGCTCTTTAGTGAGAGGAAAAACTCAGCGGATGTTGAAGCGACCAGGGAGAACACAGACTGGCAGACCACTGCTCAGCTCGCAGGCAATGTGAAACTCGCTGGATACCGCCGTCACACCAACACCGGAGAGTTTGCTCGTCTCGAAGAGATGTAGTAACTGAAGAAAACTCAGGATTTGGCTTGTGGAGTGAAGAGGTGCTCTTGGCTCCGAAGCGAAAACATGATCTGCTTTTGCCGGTGTCTCTCCTTAAATACCCACGCGGTGGGGCGGAGATACGCTATGCAAATTCCGCAGACCCATGGCATTTCATTGCCATTGGCTCGTTTTATAATACTCGAAGATGATAGGCTTTCTGGCGAAACCCCCATTCTCCGTCATCCGACGTAACTCGGAGTGACTACGAAAGGGAATGAAGGTTGCCTTGTTCTGAGAGATTCTGATATTGGTGAAAAGTTGTCATTAGGGATACACTGAAATTTCTACCAAAATCTTTGGGCCGAAACAGTTATTTTCGGTTTTGGATTTTTATTTTAATCGGCAAAGACATGATTTCTTTAAATCTAAAATATTTTAGATTCAGTACAAGATACAGTACAACTTACTGAGAATAATCCTGTCTCAAGTAATCGCTCAATCAGTGTTTGAAACGGGGAAAGACTAACGTTAGTGTTAGTTTTTGCTGATGTTAGAGAAGAAGAGTTTCTGTCATTCTCACCTTCCGTGTCTTGTCCATGAACCGATAGTAGCGGGCCATTGAGTTTATTACAGACAGACACACTTTCCAGTCTTTGCCTTTCTCTCGAAGATCAAATTTTGGGTATCTCTTTACAGCCCACTCTGTGGAAAAACACAACACTGTTAAAACGAGTGACCTTCATCCAGCTCAGTAAACTGCTAAACAGATATTGATATATGAAGCTGAGCAAGTCATGTAAATCTTAAAGGCACAATATGTAATATTTTTGGATTAAAATGTCTATAGAAGCGTCTTATACAGTAACTGCCATGCAAACGCACAGAGTAGCATTATAACATAACTTTCCACACACTCAAATGTATCTAATATGATAAAACAGCGCAGCATGACCGGAAGAAGCGGAAGCGTCCGTGGGATCATAAAAGCTCCACTGTCCTCAAGCCGAGTGTCGTGCTTGTCTCTCATTAGCAATCGCTCCAGCGGCCTCGTTACGCTCCAACGGCTTTCGTAACGTTAATAAATCTTTAATACATTACCGCTCATCCTTGAATTTCATTTCTGCCCGAGTCCCGTCATATTCTCCAACCGGTTGTAGAGGTGAAGACAACAACTCCCATGATTCAGCGAAAACAAAGCGTCATCAAGCTAGTATGGCTGGGCGATATGAAAAAAATATTTTAGCAATAATCGCCTTAAAAAATATCGCGATATCCGATTATATCGTCTACAACACGCCCCGCCGGACACAACACTACGGACATACACCGTTCACACAAGTAATGTTGAATTGGCTGCACTTTATCTAATGATAGCCTGCGGTTTAGTTAGTTTATTTAATGATTGAAACGTTAAAGGTTTTGCCTTGGTTAGTTTGAGCTTAAACCAGCATAAAACAGTAGCTTTGCTGTTATGTTACTGTCGCTAATAATTTTCACACTGTTCTTATCGCATTTGTGTTTGAAACGAATTTCGTTTCGCGAGGAGAAATGTGAAACAGCTGAACAGAACAGACACCAATTTGGTGATTGTAAGAATAGTGAATGCATGTTGATGTTATAGCGAGGTGTCTTGCCTATTTGTTTTTCATAAGGTCCGATGTTTTTTTCTTTTTTTTTGGTGGCATCGCCTGATTTAACGATAATAAAGTTTAATTTCCTAATAATGTGTAGCGCTGTTTTTTAACTTGTATTCAAACTATAATATATTTGTTATTTGTCTAAAATTAGGAATTAAAAACGAATTGTTTTGTTCTGCATGAGCAAAAAAGTTTTTTTCCTCCTCCTTTTTGGTTTTAGAGTTCCAAGGTCACCTTAAGCCGCTTACGAAACACAAATTACAGCTTTATTTACTTAGAGACAGAAGTCATTAAAAATTATATTTGGGTATTTTTTTGTTTATTTTTTAATCTAAAGCAAAGTATAACGCTCCCAATATAGCCTAGTGGTTCTCAAACTTTTTTCGTCGCGCCCCCCTTTAAAAAATCTGCCGCCCATGAATATATAAAAAAAAAAACCCGGAAAGATAAAAAAAAAAAAAAACGTGCTTGAAGCTACGCGTTTGTTTTGAATAAACGACCTCTAGTGGCGAAAAGTTACATAGTGTGCCTTTAATATGTTTGAAATTTAATGATTTTCTTTCAAAAAAGCACCTAGCAACAAATCTAGCAACTTTTTAGACTTCTGGTCACTATATAATATTTGTTCTGTTGTCTGACAGAAAATATGTAAATGAGAACGACTTTATTGAACATTTGGCTATATTTTATATTAAAATACAGTGTGTGAGCACAGATTAGGAGAGGAAACAGATGTAAATGGCCTACAATTAGCACATAACTTCTTCTCTTGCTCTCAACGGAGGCGGTGGCATTTTCTCTCCCTCTCCCTCCCCTGCTTTGCTCCTCTCGTCACGTCTAGTCTACTGTCTTGTACTTTGAGAGACTCTCTCAGCACTGCTCTCCAAACTAGGAAATATGGATTTGATCAACTGGTCTCTCAACGCAACTGACACCATCTTCTCGACGAGAAGCTTGGGTTCGGGGGAACCTGACTGCCCAGCTGGCTACGCGATGGACGCGTGGGAGAGGTGGCGGGTCGTGTGTCTGGCGGCTCTTTCCGTGGAGGACGTTGAAGATATCTACTAGGCCTGTCACTTTACGTTCGAAAATTGATTGCACAATCGATCGGACCAACCAACACAAGTATCGAAAACGAAAATAGGGAATCGATTTTAACAGCCTTCTCTCGGAGCGCGTCCAGCTCGTCACGACACGCCCGCAGCGAACGCGCGTCACACAGCAACTGCAGGCTCTGACAAACACACATATTATCGAGGAATTAAGAATCAATGAATGAATGAATGAATGAGACATTTATATAGCGCTTTCATTTGTACTACTGTACACCCAAAGCGCTTTACAATCATATCAGGGGTTCTCTCCTCAACCAGCACCAAGAAGACGGTGACAGCTGTCCAAAGCCTCAATAGGCTGCCCGTCATGATTGAAGCAGTGGGCCGAGCTCTCAGCACTCAGACTGCGACTATGAACCAGAATATGGATAACATGAAGAAGCTTACAGCTTTGCAAAGGCAAATGGATCGTTTAGGAGACCAAATTGGACCATGAGAATAGCCGTGTAAATTGGAATGTGGCTACTCCCCCCAAGACCAAATGATCCCAATCTTATCTGTTTCGGCCGCCCTCAACCAGCACTGGCCTTGGCCAAGGCAGCTGTTGGATCAACAACTCCCCCGGAAGAGCACTGCAGTGAGCCGCTCTTGCTTCCTTCCCCGACTCCCCAGACACCTGGTGATTGTTGACTCTGTCTGGGACCTGATCAAGGTTGTCTCCATGGCAACTCGCTGTGTATCGCTATGACAATCCTGCGGACTGAGGCACCTAGATTATGATGCCAGGCTTAGCGACTCTCCAGGCCTACACATACATGAACTCTTACACATATATATATACAGATATGCAATCACTCGTCCCATACCCCATCCCTCGCCTTCGTCGCTTTGTACCCCCAGTCTGACAGGCGGGTCTGTGACCAGCGCCTGAAATGGCTGCAGGACCGGATGGCTGCTTGCCTGTGCTGGGCTACCTCCATCCCCTACCTCCCACCCCTCACCCCTCACCCCTCACCCCTCACCCGTCACCCTGTGTTGCAAGTCTTGTTCATGTAAAGTGTACTGATTGTGTGCTAATTAGGGATGGGACGATACACTTAAACTCACGATACACCTCGATATGCCAGGGTCACGATACGATATCAAAAAAGGAAAAAAAAGAAAAAAATATTACTGTATAACAACAACTTATTTATTTTTGTTTCAGCTGCACACAGGGAAACACAAGGCCTAACTGGCCAAACACAAACAAGAACACTCCCTTAGTGCTGCTCTAATCCTAGGTTAAGTTATCTCAGGACTGGTTCTTCTTCAAAAAAACTAACATATCAACATGTTCTGGTGTAATCAGTGGTCTTTGAGCTGACACAATGTCTCCTGCTGTGGAAAAGACACGCTCACTGGGCACTGATGTAGCATACCGTAAAACTTCAAATAATAGCCGAGTCCCAAATAGACACCTGTCTCTTTTACACGCCTGGTGTGGCTGCAGGTTTGGGTAAATAGAGGCCGGGTCTGTTTTTTAGTTTTGGGTTGTATTTAACCTTCTAAAACCCGTCAGATCGTCCGCTTTTTGGCGGCCGCCAAAGCAAATGTGTGTCCCGCCAAAGCCTATTTTGATCGGCGAGTGATGAATAGAATGACTGCTGCGCTTGACAGGGCGCATAACGAGCAAAGAGAGAGAGAGAGAGAGAGAGAGCGCCCCAGCCGCGCGCGCGCACTCTCACGTCTTCAAACAACACGAGCGCTGTCTTGCTCTCTCTCCCTCGCGCATATTAATCAAAATCAATTGACACGATAGTAAAAGGTCGGAAGACCGCAGTTTCACGTGGAGCATTTGGAGATTTTTAGAGATTAGAGACTCTAGGCTTACTTAGACTCAATGAACAACATCTCAACACTAAATTATAAAGGCCGGTCTCATATAGACGCCTGTCTCAAATACAAGCCGGTGCAGCTCGACGATTTGGGAAAATAAAAGCCCGGGCTATTATTTGAAGTTTTACGGTATAGATATACATTTGACTCCATAATCGGCTGTTTGGGGGCAAGGCAGTTGGTACTGATGCTAATATTTGTTAGCTCGCTGTAGACTGCAGTGTTGTTGTTGCAACATGCGCTGCCTTGACGTGATGACGTACCGCACCGTTCCCCGGATATATATATTTTTTTCAATTAGTTTTACCCTGCTTGATCAGCAGATGGTGCTGCCAGCCTGCCACCATAGACTGTATGTCTGCCCCATATACATACACACACACATATAATACACTAAATTATTTATATACTACGCAAATCATGCAGCAGTGCCATCTATCTTTATTTCGCGATCCATTTTTTTTCGACCTCGATGCGTTTCGTCACGTTTTGTATCGCGATATTTTGTCAAACGATATTTCGTCCCATCCCTAGTGCTGATGTTGCTGAGGTGTTTTTTTTCCTGTCCCCACACTGTACTCCTAGAGGAGCATAGTCTGGGGGTTGCCTTTTTTTCTCCTCACCTCTCCTCATGTTATGCTGTATTTTTCCTTGGAATTTCTCACTTGTGAGACGAATAAAGGCAATATCATCATCATCATCATCATAACGTCATCTAGCGACATTTCACAACTTTTTACAACACAACACGGCTTTAGCAACTTTCCATTGAAGCTAGTTGGCAACACTGCACAGAGAAGGTCATTCATGAACTATAGATCAGCTCACCTCTCATGGCATTGATCTTGTTTGGGTCGAGTCTCTTTAGGCGTCTGGTTGGGTTTCCATTTGTGCTGCTTTGAGAAAGTTCCTCCACTGTGAAAATGTTTCGTGTGAGGTACCGCACCGCCGCACCAGGACGTGCCATTTTACCAGCCCTCTGTAGGATACAGTTTGACAGGAACACCTTCCTATCGGAGCTACCCAGACCACCTACAGGAGTAGAAGCAGACACAGATGGCAGCATTAAATCATTGGCACGAACTCATTCAATTTAGTCAGGTTCAAATGCCAATTTAAAAAAATGCCAATGGGGTAAGAAAACACTCTATTTACACCTAAAGTGCCCCTATCGTGCTATTTTTAAGGTTCCTAATTTTGTTTTAGTCTCCAACAATGGTTTACATGCATCCAAGGTCAAAAACACCAATTGAAAACCATTGGCTGCCATTATGCGAAGTAGTTACAAACCTAGATAGGTGAAACTGGAATTACTGATGACTCATTTTAGGCCGTTCGGAATCGTTTTTTTAATTTTATTTTAGGAGTCAATAACTACATTTATCATGTCCTTTGAAACTTTGCAGACCTTTTACATTTAAAAAACAGCTATATTACACACTACATGAAAGGTAATATTGGGAAAAGCATAATAGGGGCACTTTAAAAATATTCTCTGAAAGCAAGTCGTAGCATATTACGAAACTAAAAACAAAATGAAGAACTTTTAGATATTTTTCTGTAAAAGGACTCTCTTACTCGTCTTGTAAAGGTCTGTGGTTGACGCTGGGCTGATTTCAGCAGGACTCTTCACTCGCTCCTGATGTTGCGGCATTAGACTCGTCTCATCCGTGCTGAGAGGCTCTTGTGTTGCGTGGGTTGGCGCCGGGTTCTGGATGAGGAGTCGTGGAGGGCTGGGCACCTCTGGGCCGGGGGAGAGGGCAGGAGGTTTCCAGCTCTCCACAGATGGAAGGGGAGATGTAGAGGAGATATGAACGAGACGGGGCATCGACGCCTCAGACTTGGCCTGGCAGCGGTCTCTGTAGCTGGATGACAAATGTGTCCTCTAAGATGAGAGGGAGAAAGTTAATTTACAGTCAAGCCTGCATATGGATCTCTCTTCAACTGCAGACACTTTTATGTCTCCAGTGTTTTTTATTAAAACTAACAGATTATTTTATTTATTTTGACAAAGACGTATGTGGCAATACAAAGCTGTTAATTATAGTCTGCATTATTATTATTATTATATACTATTATATATATTTAGGCAAAAGTGCTATAATTCATCTAAAACTTCTTCTTTTTTTTTTTTTTTTTTACAAATTTTTGTATAATTAGTTTAAAAGTTCGTTTTTAATCACCTTGTGTTGTTTGGGAATACTTTTGAAAATTCATCTCACACTGCAGGATTATTAAAATGAACTGAAATTAACAAAAACTAAAAGGTGATTAAGATATGGTGAAAATTGTAGTTAAAAGCCTGTTTTAGGACTTATGAAGTGGTGTTTGCTAGGCATAGGGTTAGTTTTATGCAGGTTAGTGCTGTTTATGGCTTTCAAGCAACATCACAACTTGCCACATTAACAAAATATTCAACTGATATGGTTACAGATGATTTTACAATATTAGTTTCACTGTTTTGAGTAAAATCAGGTGTAGCTTGTATAATATTATTTGTTATGAATAATCATGTCGGTGTTTGCATGCAATGTCGGTTTGCATTCATATAGAAAATAATCAAATTAAAATATTCAATTATTAAAAAAAAACATTTATTTAACATAAAAAATAAATATACAAAAAGGTTAATTAAATACCCCCGCTGTTTGGTTTTAAATAGGTAAATGCTTAAGAGTCTATGATCGGATCATTATTGCAGTGGTTATTATGTTTCTATCATGTTATATGTTTGGCAACAGTTCCTCTAAAATGATTCTTCATGCTCCCTCCACACCATTCTTTCACACTTTGAGCCTGATGAATCTTGACATTGTCCTCCTGGAATATGGCCATGATGTGTCTTCCTACATGGTTGTTTAAAGGACAAGTTCGGTATTTTACACTTAAAGCCCTGTTTTAAGATGGTTTCTGATGAAATAGAGCGGTTAAGATTGAAATTTGGACACATGCTGCTGCCCCGAGAATTTTCGGTTTCTGTGGTTGTGGAAATGGGGTTGTTTGTATTCTTCTACTTCTTCTGTGTATTCAATGAAATGCCAGTGGTTTGCTTGCAATTGGCAAAGGTGCATTATCGCCACCAACTGGGCTGGAGTGTCTATTATTCAAGCTCTCAACAGAAGAATGTACGGGTGTGAGACGTTTGGAAAAATAGGTCCACAGTTTTACAACGATTGGTAAAACTCCTGTTAGAAAGCATCTTTTGCAGCGATTTTTTTTATCAGTGAAAACCCCAGACCACTCGGTGAGTTTCACGTCTTTGAAAACTAAAGTTAAATGCCTTTTATGAAGGATTGTTCCAGTGCACCTATGCAACCATTGTGTGGGTGGGGGGGTGCAACCAAAGAAACCGAAAATTCTCGGGACAGCAGCATGTGTCCAAATTTCAATCTTAACCGCTCTATTTCATCAGAAACGATCTTAAAACAGGGCTTTAAGTGTAAAATACCGAACTTGTCCTTTAAGAAATGAAAAGCTACACATCTATAGGGTTTGAAGAACTGTTGCCAAACATATAACATGCTAGAAACATAATAATCCCTGCAATAATGATCCAATCATAGACTCTTTAGCATTTGCCTATTTAAATCCAAACAGCGACTTTTTTTTTTACCTCCCCGTCTCTCTCTTGAAACCAACACGGAAGTGAATTAAACTGCAATTCATCGACTGGCCGCTTGAGGCTGGCAGCAAAAGTGAGTCAAATCTGTATCTCCCCCATGTTAAAATGCCCAACTTTACAGCATAAAAAATGATGTTTACAGCCTGGAGCAAAAAGTGGTTTTGGTCTATATAGCTAATTTTGCCCTTCATGACAACTGTGAGGGGGTGAATGTTTTTACAACTCATCCGTTTAAATTATATTAAGCTTTAAAGTTCTGCATAATTAAGGGCATGGCCACTTGAGTGACAGGTGGATTCCTCTGCTATCACTGCTAGTCGTTTGTCTGCTGTCTGTTAGCGTCACCCTCCAGCAGCTGCTGTACTTGCCATCTCTGCCGTGTTTGTGCTTTTTTCGGGATTATTTCATACAATACACGCATTATACCTTCGCCCACGCCGTTGGATTCCATCGTTGTCGAGTATGGAGAGAACAACCAGCGCTGTATTTCCAGTTGTTTTTCCTCGCATGCACTAATGGATGTCTGACAATTTAGTTACTTTTTGGAGTTTAGATTTAAATATAGATATAGATATAGAGACCACACTCGTTATGCGGTAACAGATATGCTTTTTTTACTTTTTAGTGTAAAATAAAAAGTACCGTCAGATGAAATCCTGCAAGTGTCAGTGCTTTCTCTCAGTCCATGCAATAGATGCACACCCTTGAATGAGCGCGGATTTCTAATGCATTTACTTGTACTTCTGAGGTAATATCTTTGGTTTAACCCTTTTGAGAAATTAAGAGGAGGCCAAAATCAGATTTTAAAATGGACTGAATAAAGCCCTTTACGAACTTGACGTGCGATGCCATGCTGACTCGACTGACATGTATGCGCATGAATCACTGTCACAAGCTCAGAGCAATATTCTAAGTCACTGCATGCTAAAACATTTTTAACTAGCAGAATAATAATGCATCACGATACACAGTCTCACTTTTAGTTACGTCTCTTAACTATTATAGTATTTCGAAGGGCAAAAACATGAACTTTAACTATTGGCTTTACTTCTTCAATCAGCTGTCACTTTAGCACGAGGCCAGTAGCATATAGCATTAGCACCTCAGCTCCACCCACGTCACGCCTCTTTGCCCATTTTATTTTATCCGGGAGTGACGAGAGGTGACGCACTGCCAAGATGGCGACGGCCGGCCCCGCCCACTTTAGGCTTCAAAAACGCTCTTCAGAAACCTACGGGTGATGTCACGGACACTACGTCCATATTTTTTTACGGTCTATGGTATAGCTGTTACTGTAATACACTCAATATTTATATTTATGATATACGAGTAAAGTGTGTTATTACTACCTGAGAGAGGACAGCTGGATTCTGGATGCTTGCTACTTTCGCCTGGAGCATCTCAAACTTCTCATCGAGTTTCAGAATGGCTCCATATGTAACCTGCACAAAGACACCTGAATGTCATACTGCCTTTTAAAAGACAACTCAACGTTTAACAATCTTTGTTAAATTCGTAGTAAAAAAACAAAACAAGAAGCAGAATTGACCCTTCGCTGAGCTCTGCCCTCCTTTACTACTGTTACTCGAGTCGCAACAGAACGTCTCAAAGGAGATTCCTGTTGATGAGCATTTTCAGTAAAATGTGCTCATAGAAACTATTGATTGGATGTGATTTGGGCCAACATGAATTTCTGATATTGCAAAGGCATTTTATGTGGAGAAAAAAAAATCGAGACAAGAAAATGGGGGGAAAAAAACCTCATTCGAAACTAATAATAACATTAGTGTGAGTGAACAAAACTGTTCTTAAAATGTCTACAGGCCAATTCACTCTGCACCGACAGACTCAGACCAACACTGACAGTCCCCAGATCACAGCATGTCACTTCTCTGATGCTGAATCAGCATGTTCAGTCGGAGAGAACAAGCTCAGACAGACGCTAACACACTCCGGCAAAACCTGGCGAAGTGTCTGTTGCGGTCTGTCGATACACTGTGATGGCCTTACAACACACAGCAGAGAGGATTGGTCAGAATGTTTTTATGGGCGGGGCTTAGCGATGACTCAACTGCCTCATCAGTACCTGACAGTATGCAAGAATCTCTCCCAGAGTTCTTTGCAAATCAGCTCCATATATCTCAGTCGAAATGACGCTCTCTGCCTTCATGTACAACAACAACAACAAAAAAGGCTTTGAGAGAAAAGTTAAGCAAAAACAAGAAATCATGGCAACTTATTGAAGCCATTATTTATTTCAAGACTGAAATATGTTTGTAAACAGCCATCACCTCATGCGAATCACATGGTATTTCATGTGTGATTTCATTGATGAGACCTTCATCATCCGCCTCGGACACCTAGCAGAACATATGACAGGAGGGGACCGTTTCATGTCTGCATTTGCTCCATCAAATGACCAATAGACATGAGTCCACATATTACACATATTATTGCCTGTTAGTAGAGTTTAAAAAAGAAAACAATCCAAATCAAGGCAACATTTTGTGAACAAAATAAATGAATACACGTGGAACTGCCACAGATGGTTTACTTACCATCCTGAGCAGCCCTGTTGTATTCTCCTCTCCAATAAGTATGAAAATGTACAGTGTGATACTCTACCATACTGTCACTGAGGGGACTGGGGCCTCTGGATCTCATCATCACTGCCGTCCCGTCGTTGTCCATGCTCTCCAGACTGTCCTCTTCCGCCTCATCCTGCAAACCGCACAACACACTTCTCCCCCTGTTAACTGGCGGCAGGAAACATGGGTAAGTGTGGATTATTTCACTGCGCCAAAGTCATAGTTACTTATAAATGCTTGTATAGAATTTCAGTTGTGCTAATTACAAACAAATGAGAGGTTAGACTTCTTTAGTTTGACTGTCAGATGATACACTGCCCTTCAAAGGTTTGGAGTCATAATGATAAGTGTTTCTTGAGCAGTAAATGCATTAGAATGAATCATGTGACACTGAAGACTGAAAATGCAGCTTTGCTTCCCGGGAATAAATTGTATTTTAAAATATATTACAATAGAAAACAGTTATTTTAAATTGTAATAACATTTTACAATATTACTGTTCTTCTAATGCAGTATTGGTGAGCATAAGAGACTTCTTTCAGGAGTCTTTCCGTGTTCCATGGGGTTTAAAGTGACTTAAACTTTTGTACACTTTATGTTATGAATTATTATTATGAATGAAGCGCCTGAATAGTGTTACAACAATACTAACTCTATTAAAAAAAAATGTTAAAAGTTACCGTGGTTGTAGCCTACCTTATTATTTTTTAAGGTACCTTTTAGTATATGGAATATAAACTCAGTAAGTGCCCTGTTATTTTTTTAAGTATACTGGAGTAACGTTAACTTACCATGGTATTAATATAGAAATCATTCGGTTTCATAGTATTTGTTATCACCATCTGATATGGTAGGATCACAAAACCCCATAGTTAATACAAGAATAGAAAAGACTTGGTTTTAAACATGTGGACATAGTTGAAATATCTTTAAGTACCATGTTAATACCATTTCTAAGTGGTATTTGGTGTTAAAACGGACATTGCAAAGCGTTCCGAACGTTAAACAGCTGATGTTCGTTACTTCCGTTCTCCGTTCATTTCGCAGTAAAGGAGGAACGGTGTGTTGAATAAACGCACAGAGAATATGAAGCTACTTCTGTTTTTAGAGCCAGCAAAACACGATAAAGCGATAAACAAAACCACACAGTGTCATATTGTTCTGAGTCAGTCACATTTAAAGCGTTCGGTTCAATGTGTATTATCGTTGTAAAGAGATGCACTTGTACCGTGAACAGACATGCTCGGTCCGCCGCTGTCACTCGCGTAGTGTTTATCGTACAGCTTTATTGTAATTTATCACCTATTACTTGACCTTGTTGTTGATAATTGAACGGTTTACTTCTGTTAGGCTGTTGTTGTTATTGTACGGGATTTTTAGATTACATTCAAACCACGCCCGTTCTGCAATGTCATTCCTCTCTGCGCATGTCTGAACGCAGCGTGGCGTTCACTTTACAAAGCGTTCCCTTCCTACGCCCCTCCTGTCCTGACTGAGAAACAGCTAGAAGCAGGATGGGCTAGAAGAAACGTTGGTGCCCTGACGTTTTCACAGACGAATTCACTGTTCATTTCGGTTAAATGGCTGTTAAACTTTCAGTGTCATTATTCAGGAACAAACGATCATCTAGACCGGAGGCTGAAACGGCACATGAACGCGCTTAGAGCGCCGTGGTCACGTGGTATCTGTTACTCTTCTCAGCGCTGGGGAGGATGGAGCAATCGCATTTGGCGATGATGGCTATAGATATGACATTTTTAAAATCATTTTATGCAGAATTCATAGGGCAGATTTCCCTGTTTTATGTCAGGAATATTTTTTGTATGTACATTACAATTCATTTATGTCAAAATATACCCAGCAAAAAAAACACACCCTGAGATCTCTATGCAACCAAATGGAGGATTCTCTGAGCCGCAACTGCTTTTTTTCATTTTTTTTATCTAATCATAATTTTATTTATGTCTCAATATACTGGATGTTCTTCTTCTTCTTCTTCTTCTTCTTCTTCTTCTTCTTCTGCCATGGGAGTCTGGCATTTGCAGCCCATAGAACCGCTCTCGAGAAAGTTATGAAATCAGGCACACTAGTACTATATAGAGGTCATTCTCAACATTTAGCAATTTTGGAGACTCAATCCCTCCAACTGTCCAAATTTGCACTTACGTTTATGATAATAACTTTTTAACCGTAAGCCCTAGAAGCAAAACCCTTTCCCCCTCTGATTCCTTAGCTCAAGCCAAGTCGAATCCCATTTTATAGGTCACCATTTTTCGCCATTTTGAATTTTCTGGAAAAACCTATTTTTGCAAACTCCTCCTAGCCCACAGGATTTCAAACCCTGGGTCGTGACCCACTCGAATAAAAAAGAAATTGGTTCACCAGGATGATTTAAGGAAAATGGAGTTACATTAAAAATAAAATAAAAATAACAAAATTTGTTTTCATGCAATCACAGACTATAGGCCAATATAAAAGGAATACGCAAAATATATTTGAGTTAAATAATTAACAGATTAACAAACTACTGCGACAGTATGCTGCTGAGTTTGGTTCATATTTGTGAGGCGATATATATATATATATATATATATATATATATATATATATAAACTAAGATATTCATCTCATATTTTCTCATTCATTTAATTTAAGGCTCCACTGCTCAGTCTTCAGGTCATCACAGTGGGCTTGTGTACAAATTCACTGTCTTCAACAATAAACTTCAAGAGAATCCCTGTCATCCTTTAAATTGTCTGATTTGAAATGTTCCCATGTTGTGGTAAGACTAAAGGACAGTATATTATTAATTACAATATATTGATCATTTTATCAAGATGATTAAATTTTTAGTTTTTTATTATTCTTTTTTTATATGTGCTGGAGTTCTTTAGTGCTTATTTGCAGCAGGGTCCTACACATGTTCTTCTGCAACAGACCTGAAAGAAGAGAGATGATCATGAGTCTTGGCATACAAAACCAGTTTACCAATACTACATAGCCTAAATCTATACCATATATAGTATAAAAGATGGAACCTAAGAGTGAGAGAGAAGAAAGAAGACTGACTTCCTGCGAAGACATCTTGCCTGGTGACATTTAGTAACATAATAATAAAATGTAAGCAGATAGCTTAGCTGCTGAGATCATACCTGATGGATGACACAGGTGAATTTGCCCTCTTGGCTCCGCCCACACTCAGACTGGACGGCAGCGCTGGTGGCGGGGCGCAGTCCCCTGTGGAGAACGCGTCACAGCGGGGTTCGGGAGGGTACATGTCGGGAAGCAGGACCGTGACACTGTCTATAAGGTGCTGTGTAAGATAAGTGCACAGCTCCTGTTCCACTAGCTTGATGCAGCTGTCAGGAACACTGCAAACACAGGACACGAGGGAGCACTTTACAACAAGGTAACATTATAGTTAACATGAGCTAACAATAACAATACTTCTAAATAATTTATTAATCTTAGTTAAAAGGTTAGTTCACCCAAAAATGAAAATTATGTCATTAATGCTTCACCCTCATGTCGTCCCAAGCCCGTAAGACCTCCGTTCATCTTCGGAACACAGTTTAAGATATTTTAGATTTAGTCCGAGACAGGGGCGTAGCCAGAATTTTATTTTTGGGGGGTCCCGTCTTTAAATGAGGGGGCAACATACATATACATATATATATATATATATATATATATATATATATAAATTTTATACAGACCTATTCTGGTGGGTGCGGTGATGTGGTGGCGACTCATGCAGGGGTGTAGAATTTAGTAGGGACGCTAGGGACGTGTCCCTACCAATATCCAGTGACACTGATATATCCCTAGCAATAATCGATCAAAACTTAAAATATATTTGATGTCCCCGTCCCCACCAATTTCAAAATCAAACCTACGCCACTGGACTCATGTAACATGTAAGGGTGGCGCTGCCAATAAAGCACCTAAAAGCTGTCACAACCGGCAAAAGTACACTGTAAAAAAAATATGTAGAAATTACAGTATTACTGGCAGCTGCTTGCCAGTAACTTACTGTAGTTTTAAATTGATGTTATTTACTGGCAACAGTTTGTTCAAAGTTAAATGAACATTAAACATTAACAAGTCTTTATCTTTACAGAATAAAACTAAAATAACAGCCTCATGCAAAGCATTCTGGGAACCAAAATCTGAAGGAAAAAAACAGAAAAAGGTTGATGAAGATTTCTGGTTCCCAGAATGCTTTGCATTAGATTGTTATTTTATAATTTTATTCTGTAAAGACAAAGACTTGTTAATGTTTAATGTTCATTTAACTTTTAACAAACTGTTGCCAGTAAATATACATCAATTTAAATCTACAGTAAGTTATTGGAAAACAGCTGCATAACTACAGCAATTTTTTTTTTTTTACAGTGTAATGATTATGAATATGTAAAATATAGCAAGGAGATATTTTAATTGTTTATTAATAAACAAGTGTTTTCTTTGTCGGCTAAGATGAAGTTGACGATGCTGACTCGCGATCTTCAGTAGTGAACGCGCCAGAGAGAAATGCACATTTCATACGGATTACATAAGCAGAGAGCAGTCTGTAGTCTGTTTTCTTTCGTTTTGAATTGTTCTGTTTTAAAAGTAGACATGTGAGGCAAGTAGGCTACCTTATATGCTGAGTTTCCAGTTCACGCGCCGGCGCCTCCGTTTCTTATCTATCGTCTGCTATATTTACTTCTTATTTATTAAATCCAGGCATTGATGAAACATTGATTAAAATTAAGATACAATTAATACAAAACGAAATTCAGGTTAAAGAAAGGTTTTGTGCTTTCTGTTTGATGTCTCTGTGAAAGTTTTAAAGCATCTTTTAGTGCCGCTTTCAGAGCGCTCACGTCCGTTACATTTTTTTTCCTCATAAATGCAAACACGAAAAATAAAATAAAATAAAATGAATATTTTATGTAGGCCTATACTGTGGAGACTGAGAGCCAACCCTTCTTCATCCGGTGGGTAGTATTACTTTGGTTTGCGCAGTGTAATTCACATAATCACTAAAAAATATTTTGCCTCCTAAAGTTTTTTTTTTTTTTTTTTTAAGCAATCAGAAAACCTAGGCCCACCCAGGCCCCCTCGTGGCTAAGCCACTGGTCCGAGAGTTTTCTTTCCCTCCATTGGAAATGTATGTACGGTATACTGTCCTTGTCCAGAAAGGAAATAAAGACATCATCAAAGTAGTCCATGTGACATCAGTGGGTTAGTTAGAATGTTTTGAAGCATCGAAAATACGTTTTGGTCCAAAAATAACAAAAACTATGACTTTATTCAGCATTGTATTGTCTTCCGGTTCTGTTGTGGATCCGCGTTATACAGTATACCGTACATTTCCAATAGAGGGACAGAAAGCTCTCGGACTAAATCTAAAATATCTTAAACTGTGTTCCGAAGATGAACGGAGGTCTTACGGGCTTGGGACGACATAAGGGTGAGTCATCAATGACATAATTTTCATTTTTGGGTGAACTAACCCTTTAATGTTAATTTCAACTTACTAACACAAAGCATTGGACTATACTGACCTGCCGACCAACCTGTGTTTTTTCCTCTTCAATTCTCCTGCGTCTCTAATCACCAGTCTCATGTGTCTCCTCCTCGTGAACCGGTAAGGCAACACCAAACTACTATTAATACAATTACCATCAACGCTAACTTGGACTCGGACTGTCTATGCATTCTTTCAGTTATAACTGAACTATAGTTACTATAGTTACCTGTGATCTGCATTGTCACATCTCATATTCACTCTAACTGTTTAATAACCCGGTTGAGTTTTACCCACCATCCGTATCAGTCTGTGTTCCGTAACACTAGCATTAATAAAGAGTAATATACTATAACTAATATGTTGCTTATTGTAAGTTAATGCTAGTTAATGCATTCACTAATGTTAACTATCGAGACCTTATTGTAAATTATTGTAAATAAACATATTCATGCTGGTTTTTTTTTTTTTTTTTTAATCCTAATTTAATTGACAAAGCAGCATAATATATACATTCAAACACTCACTGAAAGATGCAGGGTCCAAAAACTTCAGACAAGTCCTTTGATGAAATGTGGTTGACATGACACTGGGCAGTGACCCGGGACAGGAAGTGGAAGAGCAGGGACAGGATGTTGAAGGTTTCAGGTGCATAACTGTACAGGACTTTCTTTGCACGCTTGAGGTTCAAAGCCATCCCTTTGGTTTCTGCATGGTCGACAGAGAATCAAATCAGATTTGGTCTTATTTGCAGAAACCTTGGTGCGATAAGAATATTCTCAATGTGAACGCACTTGTATAGACTCTCAAGAGCTTTTTTGCGTCCCTGTATGGGATGAGTCCATTGGGCAGTTCTCCCAAGAAGAGAATCAGCAGAGAGGCCACGGCGTGGACATCATCGCTGCGAAAAGCTGGAACTTCACCACGATCCAGACTTTCCCTCAACGCGATGCGCCGTGCCTCTGATCCGCGGGCACGGAACAATTCACGCTGATGGAGACCTCAAATACAAATCATATTTCATTTCACATTAATTTGTATAGCGCTTTTCACAATGCATATCGTTTCAAAGCAGCTTCACAGAAAATGCTTAAGTCTGCATAACAATTTAGAGTGATCTGTTTATCAAATGTGAC